GTATACTACGTAGTGTACTTGTTGTTTTTATGTTCAACAAAAGTTTATTACTGGCATAATGCTAGCACCTGTTCCCTTTCGCTTCCTTTGCATTTGATTTCGTTTATTGTTTATTGTTGCTTTAGTCATTACGAGATTTAGTCTGTTGGGCTGCTGTTCGCGTGGCTTTGGTTGCATCGCCAATATACTCTCTACGTTACGTCGACTCTGACTATTAACGCTTTATAACGCCGTACACGCCGTATAGGAGTACGTAATTCACGTATTTCATGTAAGGCAAACAAAAATGGTTGGTAGTATAATTTCACTTATATTTTATTGTGGCACCCCTGAATTTTATTTTATTTTATTGCGACACGTACACTACATTTCAGGTTGCAATTATTAGTTTTGAAAATTAATAGCGCAATTAGTGAAAAGATAATAAATAATACAAGCAAATGTACCAAGGCTCTTAATATCAATTCTTTTTTCTATAAAACTGAATTAAGCCAAAACACTGTTATAAAAGAAGTGGAATTGTTGCAATGTTCTCTACAGAATTTTATTTTATTCTTGCTTTTACTGTAAAAATCAGTACAAAAATATAAAAGTTCTTTTTTTTATTTGTCGATTGTTTTTTTTTTTGCCAACTAAATTTTTATATCTTATCGAAAAAGTGTATTTGAATAGTAAAATATTTTGAGAAGTTTTAGAAGAAGTTTTAGAGAAGTGATATGTTTTAACAGATATTCATTATTTACCTGAAGACACTAAGTATAAGTATAACGATAAGTATAACGATAACGATAAATATGTTTAGTGTAGTGGCATTTTTAGTGTTCTCGACTAGTACTAATATTGTAATCTTTTAAATAATTTAGTGTTTCCACTGTTTTTTTTTAATACATGACTTAGTCAGTTATTTGATCTATAATAATTTTTAAAAATTATAAAGCTGATGGGTTAGTTGGTTGCAGTGACAGGTCAGCTGATATGTTTATATTCCTTCACTCCCCATAATTAGCATGTTTTCACTATTTCACTACGAGATTCCTTGTGAAAAACCTAAAACAACAAAAAGATCCATCCTATTCACATTTGATGATTAAACAGATCTTTTGTCCTTACCAATACCAAACAGAAATAGTGTCTTCTAAAAGCCAAACCCGAATAATTGCAAATAAAATGCTTAATTGTGAGTTTTTCTAATAAATTTCCATAACTTTTAGACTAAGAATTAAAAACAATCAGCAGTTTTTTGCATAGGTACCTATAAACCAGTGACCAAAGAGAAGTGTAATAAACCTTTCAGTATTTATGCGATACTATTTAATGTGTTTCTAAGATATGTTCTTCTGCCTCCAATCAATACAGAGAATATTGAAAGAAATAAACAATCATTAACGTATGGAGACAACAGGATAATCTAAAAAAAATGAAGGAACTATACTTTCATGTGGCAGCAGTTATACAGGTAAAATTAAATAAACGTATATGAAACGAATCAGAAGCACCATTCCTCCAAAAAGCACCAAGTCTGCAATCTGTAATTAGACAATATTTTCCCAACACCAACTACTCAAAGCTCTACAAACGAATATACAAACTCGAATGTGCCTCAGGTCGCCCCGGTTCCATCATGACAACCCTCTATTCCGCTCACAACAATATGAAAGTCAGATTAGGCGAAAAGTTATATATTGTCTAAAGGTCTTCGAATTGTTGTAGGAGTAGTACTTCTTTTAACGATCTCCTGGTACTCTAGGTAACCGGTACCCTTAAAGATAAATCCATGGAGTTATCAAAGTTTATCAAACCGTCTACTTTATTTTTATTTTCTTCTGTGTTTCTTCATCCGGTCGAGCAGATATGAGTGATATCAGCTTATCAGTTTAAATGGTCAATTTTTGCTCTGCACTAGATAATGCATTAGATAATGGTCATCGAATTATTGTAGGAGTAGTATTTCTTTTAACGATCTCCTGGTACTCTAGGTAACCGGTGCGCTTAGAGATAAATCCATGGAGTTATCAAAGTTAATCAAACCGTCTACTTTATTTTTATTCTCTTCTGTGTTTCTTCCTCCGGTCAAGCAGATATGAGTGATATCAGCTTATCAGTTTAAATTGTCAATTTTTGCTCTGCAATTTCAGCTAGCTTTAGTTTTATTAGGAAGGATTGAAAAGCTTCAAGTGACGCTTGACCGTCAATTGAAATGGCAACGACTTTGATGTGACCGTGACATTGTTAGGTAACTTATAAATATTTAACTCGATAGATAAAAATCTTGGTAAATAACGCAATATATCCAAAATTACAATATGTGACTATTATTTCACATTATTATGAAACTTCGAAGCTTGTATTTAATTTTAAAATAATGAAGATACACAGTACTTATAGTTGCCTGTAGTGTAGTGACTCGTAAAATTTGTGATATTATGTGTGTTTATAGTTCTATATTGATTTTGTTGTACCTTTAGTTGTGTTTTAACTATTTTGTATGAAGCACCAGCCAATTTTCAACGATTTTACACTCACAAATTTAGGGATTATGCCAAGTAGTTAGCTGCGAACGTGGT